GCACCATGACGGCGTTGCATGAGGCGGGCTAATGAAGCTTAAAATACTAAGTTGAATCGACTTTCCATGACCTTATGAGTTGGTGGCCGAGACGAGGAAGGCAAAATAGGGGTTGTCTGAGGGTGGCGCATGTTACAGCAGGCTAAATTGGAACGTTTTACAATCGCTATTGGCTTTGTGGTGATACTGCATGAGGCGGCCGGTCGAGCCGGACTATTCTTAGCTCAACTGGCGGTGATGGTGGCCACATATAGACAGGTTGGAAGAAGGATGCGGGATGGGGGTGGTTTCTTGGTTGTGAAAAGTAGAGCATTCGGATTAGAACCGTTTTTCCCAACGTTCGACTTCGTAGTGACAATGCATGAGGCGGCTTGGCGCCTGTAAGTATTCTTCCCCCGATTGTGCTTTCATGCAGTTCTAGATTGAAGGTAGGAGGTAGTATAAGATCCAACACCCTGAGACAACCCCTATTTCGCATCCTCCATCTTTGCCTCTAACTCATAGCTTCACAAAACGTCGATCGGGTAGCAACGTCTGTAGTGGCTACCGGTGGCTGTACCCGGATCTATCTAAGTGAAAATCGGGCCCTCCGGCTCAGTCGCTTGACCCAGTCCTCGCAACAGTGAAGTTAACCGGGTGCCATTGTTTCATGCAACTTCACCTTGAATAGCCATTATCATCTCTCTAAAGCCGTGCCATATAAACCCTGATTCCTGCCTTCCTCCAACCTCCATCTTCCAAAGCCTCACAAACCAACATCCATCTTGATCACACAATCCACATCCAAGTCCACATCCACATCCACATCCACAACCCTCGAAGCCCCACAACCAACAATCATCCATCCATCCATCAGCATGCCCGGCACCAACCTCCACACCCTCGGCCTCCGCGCAGCCATTTGGGCGCGTTTCAAGGGCAAGATCCACCGCATCAGCACTAAGGTACGATACCAGCCCCATTGCTCCACCTCTTTGGCTGACTCGCTGACACGTCGAAGCTCGCACAACTGTGGGAGAGAGAGGAGAGGGAGGAGGTGCTGCTGGCGGCCCTGAATCTGGGCAGGACCAGGACCATCCACCTGGGAAGGGGAACGACGGAGGACGAGGACATTGCCGTTACGACGGTGACGGTGGGGGACGGGGTGCCGCGGGTGGTGCGGCGGATGAGCAAGGGGCTGGAGGAGATGTTCTGATTTGGGGGTGGGAGAGGAGGGAAGGTGGGAGAGCTCAGGGGGCGCTGCGGACTTCGCGCCGCATGAGCAAGGGGCTGGCCGGTGTGCTGTGATGCGGGGGTTGCAGAGGAGGGGTGTGGAAGCGGCAGAGGGAGGGATTTTGAGGGTGACATGGATGGAGGTTTGAAGTTGAACGGTGTTTTGGTGGCCCTTGACTTTGTGATGATGCTGCGTGAAGCGCTTTGGTGAGCTGGAAAAGATTCGTCTTCATTGATGTGTCGCGGTGTTGAATTGGAGGTAAAGGAGGAGGCCTAGGGATAGGAACGTCAGTTCCGCGCATTGAGGCAATGCGCACTGGTATTGGGCCCATTTCGGTCGCATTCTGGCATGGTGATGATACCGTATGAGGTGGCTCAGCCGTTCGTTCCTAAGGTCGGAAAATGCTATCACGTGGACAGCCAAAGGCGGAGCACTTGTCATAACCGCTGCTCTGGAAGCTCCCGCTCTCCACCCGCTCCCCACCCCATCCACCCGCGATACGACCCACATCGAGGTCGCACTACGAGCTGCGCTCGCTAGACCAGTAGATAGCATCCCACAGGCAAGTGCTAAGCCCCTTCGCCATCGCGTGGTCTTCGCTTTGCCCGTTCATGCAGCGACCTCATTCAACACTGGCGAGGTTCGCGTTTCGCCCTCGGCCTTGGTCGCTCTTAACTACATCAGTACGCCCCTATCACTACAGACAGCTAACGCTGGTCACGTCTAGTAAATACCAGTTCGCGATGCCGCCAAAGCGCAAGAGGGGGCTAGGCGATGACATTCCCGAGAAGGACGCCACCGATAAGATGGAAAATCATGAGTCCGCAGAAGCATCAGACACGTCTGGGTCACCTCTTACAGACTATGAGAGCGATGTGGCCAGCGGCACTGTCTCCGCGCAGAGTGTGAACAACAACGCGCAAGATGGGCACGCTACTGTTGTATCAAGGTCAACTTCTGCGGGAAATCAGCTCGGCACGCCCGCCACACTAAGATGTGAGTCCTGTATCCTCTTTCCAGAATGATGCACTAGCTAATTGAAGGGGCTAGGTTTATCTTGTCGTCACAAAAAAGCGCGTTGTGTACAGACGGGCGAGGAACGTTGCGACAACTGCAACAAGTGGGACAATGAATGCGACCTTACTAAAGTTAGGAAAGAACCAATATATGTCTGTGGTTGCGGAGCTGTGCTCACGGTGAGCCATGAAAGCAGCAATAACAAGTCGTCGCATAAGGATTGCGCACCACCTCTGTATCATCCTGGCATCAGAGTCGGACACTATACTTGCAGATGTGGCAAAGAGCGCGCTGCAGATAGAACGCGTCCACCGGTAGAGCACAAGGAATGCCTTCCTCACCTAACCATGACGATGTCTCCCGCCAAGTTCTTCGCTAGATATTATGGAGACCTGGTGTCGCAAGTTTCCTCCCAATCAACGCCTGTGCCGTCAGAGCGCGAGGGAGACGACGACGTTATGGAGTCCCTGCCGGTAGCACATGAGAACGCCGTAGACTACACAACTCGGCAGAATCGCTCTCCATACGACTCCAGCCCTGATTTCAGCCAGTATGGTAGCGATGTCTCTCTAGGCGGTTTGCCAGGGCCTTCCCAGCAGCGGAAAAATATGACACCTCTCAGGCAGACCGCAGATGGTCTCAAGCAGACCGCAGATGGTTCTTGGGAGGCCCAGCGACCATCGGAAGGTGGAGGAAGCCGAACGTTAGGTCCTGAGCCGCGTGGAGCTTTGACATATCTTTCAGGGGAGTCTGTTGATCAAACCGCATATACCGACGACAGCACCAACACTGGAAAGGGCACTCCCCTGACAGAAGCGCAAACTTCTACAAACGCGCCCCCCTGCTCCACCCCTCTACCCTCTGCCATTGCGAGCAACAGCACTCCCTTGGGACAATACGACCTCCGAGCCTCGGCCCTGCGCTACATTTGGCATCTGCGAGGAATGAGTGGAGCACCACCCTACCACACCAACGCCGGCGCAACAATAGCTCCATCCTACTTCGTCCTACCAAACACGAACACCAACGATGCGAGCCGCCCATGGGCTCCAGGTCCAACAGGCGATGGTAATAGTTCACTCATCAACGGAGCTCGCGGGGATGAGATTGAAGCAGCTGGGGATGATCTGACCGTAGATGTGGACCGGCCGCGCGCTCTGCAATCAAGAGCACACGTGCGGGGCAATGCGCAGTTGCGAAGCGAAGGGGGTCAGATGGGAATTTCAGGGGATGGACATGGGATTTTGAGCACGTCCGCAGGTATTGCAAGTCAGGTGCGTAGGCAGCGTTGCTTCATGCGATGCATACATCAAGCCGCAGTTCTCTTCTAACTAACTCGACTACCAGGCCATGCCCCAGACTGACTCGGTCGAAGATCGCGGGATCGCTAGCACCGCCAATACGACCCCTCCCCTACTGGACGATTCTACTCACCAGCTCCATAGCTTCAAGTCTCATGGGCACGCGGAACAAGCGCAGCGAGCGGCGGAGACAGCCTTGGTTCTCCAATGGTACAAGAAACCATGAAAAAAAGGGGAAGCCCCATGTAGATTTTACGGTCAAGGTAACAAATGGGAAGACCGGGTTTGTGAAACGATCGGGACAGTGTCTAGAGATTGCAGAAGAAGCACTGCTCTGGTTATTTGATTATTAAGGTAGGCGATGTCGCATGGGCTTCATGCGAAGGATCATTACTGCAAAGAACCTAGTATTGCTGGCCTGGCTTCTTCCGAAGTGAAGCATGAGTTCTATATCGGTTCAGCTGTGGGTGTTGTTTTTATAGTGCTTTTCTTGAAACTACCGGCGTGGAAGCATGAAGCTCTTTTCTCCATAGACACTAAACCCGTTACTAGTAAATGCAAAATCTCCTACACATGGGACTTGTCGTGACCGTCTTCATTCCATAATGAAGCAATGACGGTTGCTAGTTGTTGTTGATATATTTTCTATGGCCCCAAGTAGAGACGCTTCCCCACGTGTCCATAGGTACGACCCTCTAGGTCTTCATGCATGAATGCTATGCCGGAGCACTAAGATACGCGCTTTGTTCGACGTGCGTCTCCTCTAGCGGCCTGACTGTGAAATGAGACGAGAAGCCGTAGCATGTCGACACCTCTACAGCCTTACATACACGTAGCAATAGATGCAGTCGGTGACGTGAATGCAGTCGGAGACGTGATGGCCACGATCACGCACTAAGCCCGTTTCACCGAAGTGAAAGTGGCCCTGCGTCTCACCCCTGCCAGCCCTCCCAGGCTCTGGGCCATCTCATCCCACTACTTTCACTTGCAGTCGCTAATGTATCCTTTCATTCATCAAGGTATATGTTCAGTCTTATTTGGCTGAGAGTCAAATCAAAAGGCGATGTGGTGTAGTAGTAACACGCAGATCTAGTCTCTAGCATCAGAGCCCATGGCTCGATTCCGTGCCTCGCCATCGTCGATATTCTCGACGACTTCTATTTACGTAGAAGTCGTCGAGAACATCGACTAATCTTTTTTGTTCATGCTTGCAGTACTACTGTGAGATACCCGCAGGCTAATTCTTGAAGTGCAACACCCCGTGGTGTGGGCGTTGAGCTGCAAAACGCGGAAAAGGATGCAAAAAGATGCACATCGTGAGCCGACCACTGGCGTGAGGCAGTGGCCGTGACGTGGAGTGATAGGGTGGGCCCGCTCTGCCACTTATTCTTGCTATCTGCCTATCTGGGTCTCGATCTGCTAGGGTAGGTAATGTTTTTATTTTGAGCAAATCTCAAAATCAATCACAAGGCGCAATGGTGTGAATGGAAACATATCCTCTGCTGGCAGAGGAAGATGGGGGTTCGAGTCCTTCTTGCGCTAAGACTTCTTCTTTTGCTTTGGGGGTCTATTTATATGTACTTGTGTTCGCTCTGTTGGCGGCAGTGGGCTTTCATTTTTGCCTACGGTCACCTAGGGGATTTGAGAGTGTCTCGCAAGGCTACTCCTACTGTCTTGTAGATATTTGTGGCTCTTTTGAGACCCTGCGGCTGCACTGCCGACGATGAGGTTCAGGAAACGTCTCCGAGATGGACCCTGTGGCCGCTCTCCACCATTAAAGCCCTCAACGCATTTATTTCTTGCGGTACACCTTCACCATACCTAGCAGTTGCCCGTCTATGTCTCCGACCTCAAGCCTGACAGTTCTAGCAATGACCCCCCACTATGCTCTTAGCTACACTTTGCAGACGCACTTCTCGGCTCTGGCGAGGGTCTCCTACAAGCTACGTCACACATTTTGCTTTGACCTGCTCCTCCGCAAACTTTACACCCCACTCGAAACAACACCTTCACTATTCGCCGTACCTCCATCACCAGCTGCGATACCCTCGTCTTCGATCTCTCTCGTAGAACCACGCCATCGACACCCTAACCGCCGCGCGAGCGTCCTCTATTGACAGCCGCGCGAATGTCTCCAGAGTAGCTCGCCTGCCCCACGAGTGGTCGTAAACCGGCCGAAGCAGAATCCTCCTCCTCCGCCCTGTAAGGAACAGTCGACTCTGGAGCAGCCTGAAGCCCTGGCTCCCCATGCCAGCCTCGCCCCTCGCCGTCGACGGACCCAGAGCGCATACTCGTCGAAGCATCATGGCCGCCGCATGAAGAACTCCCGCCAACAGCTTCCTGCTACGATAGTTATTGCGAATCGGCGCAGCTTCGAAGCTCCCACGATGGTCAACATACCTAGCTATCAAGTCGCCCCTAGAACAGCACTGGATTAGATGTCTCCCATTACGGTCTATATCCCCTCCCGGCCATGGATTATATATCGAACAGGCTCACGGCCGATGCGCAACGCTTGCGCGCTCAGCGTCACTTGCGTCCTTCTCAACCCACACTAAACGCCCTACCTGCTTGCTTCCATCATGGCTGGATACCACCTTTCTCCCCAACAAATGCAACGTACTTCTTCTGCCTTTCCAACACCTACCTGGGCCACGTCCCTCAGTCCGCCAGACGTTCCACCCACCGACGAAATCTTCATGTCCAAGCTCGCTTCTCCCGCTGTCAACTCCCGTCCTGGGAAGATCTACCGCGCGAAAGACTATGGTACAAACCCCGCGTCACGCTCGCCGCAGCTCTCCTGGCACTTTGATTATACCAGTCTTCCCGTCGCTCGTCACATCAGCTGCCTCATCCCTCGCATTATCGATCTCTTCCAGAGCGGATTCAGATGTGTCAAACTGCGACCAGCACACTCCAAGAAATCTTACATAGGGAATCTCAGGATATGCACCGCTTATGAGGGAATGTTGACTTCCTCGCAATTGAGTCGGTAATGAGATCTAACAGCCTGGATTCGAGCTCGCAAGATCACTGCCCAAGGCGTAAAACCCGAAACTCGAACGGAAGTCTTGGAGAAGCGGCTTGGCAATGCGCCGGGGACTTTGAGTATGATGTCGAACGTGTATGATGACAACAAGCTCGTAGACGATTTCTCGAAGTGCACATCTGAGGTCTGCGATCATTTTCTCTCGCAGGATGCGGGTCCCGCTACGCACCGAGGCTGACTCTAGCAATGCCACCGCAGTTGGCGAGCCCAGCTGGCGCAACTTTCTACCGCTCCTGTCTGCTCCATCGCCGCCTCCGCCGTCCTATGACCACCTGTACCCAGGACACGGCGAAAGCAGTGACATGGTTACGAAGATCACAACGCTCCATCTCTGCCTCTATCGTGTGACGACTGTTCCCTGTCCGCACCCGATGCAGTACCAGCTCTCCCGTCGTTCGTCGCATCAGCTCCCTCGTCCGCACCGATGACTCTAGCAACACCACCGTAGTTGAAGAGTCCAGCTGGCGCAATTATCTCCCCGTCCAGTCTGCTCCATCACCGCCCCCACCATCTTATGACCGCCTCCTAGCGCTCAACATGGAGGCCGACGCTATAGAAGAGGCGAAACATCTGCAAAGCCAGCTCGACGCCTTGGAAGTCAAACACTCGCAGCTCTTAAGAGATGAGCAAGATCTCGAAGTGCGACAGAAGGAAAACGCCTACGAACGCGCACGTGTGTACCCAGAACACGGCGAAAAGCAGTAGCGTCGTCAAGAAGGTCACAACGCTCCAGTTCAACCTCTGCCACGTTACCCTAGCTCGCGCAATCCCGATTTCGCAGCAGTCGTTTGCCCCGCCAATGACTTCCTATATGGACTGCAGACGCCCGCCCGCGGTCACAGTTCAATCTACTCTAGACGCTCTCTACGATGCTCAGAACGCCATCATGGCCGCTCAATATGCGCTGATTCATCCCCAGAGTGGGGTCCCATACCAACCATATCCGATGGCGCATCTGCTTACTATCTCCGCCCACTGCTCGCCGTCGCCGCGGGACCGCCGACGTATGTTCACACCTGCGTCTAAAGTCTTTCGCTTAGCTGACTGACGACATCCAGGGACGAAGCAGCACTTGGCCATGTGAAGGATACTCTCGTCACGACAAGCTCCCTACCGGGCACAAAATCTCCTCGCAGCCGCAAGGTTTGCCCCCACACGATCAGACCCTACGTCCTGCTACTCCTTCCTTCTCAGTCCGGTTCCATCACAATGCTCGAAGTTCAATAGGATGTTACAGATGCCGCCAAAGCTACTTCCTATCCAACAGAAGTCTGGGGAAGGATGCGCACGAGGTGGAAGATGACCAGGCTAAGAAGAAGGGGGCGACCGCATCGATAGACGATGGATTGGGCGATCTGGCAGCTCTGATCCAGCAGCGGCAGAACGTGAGAGGCGGCTTCTTCGACCCGTCTTGAGGAGGCCTGTGCTCGGGAGAGCGGGGATCAAGAGGAGCTTTTGACGACACACACCGGGACGAAAGAAGCGCCTTTGGGCGTTAAGTGCCCACTGGCAAGTGGATCTAGCGAGTCCCGGCTAGATAATGCAATGTCAGAGTACGCTTCGAAGATTTTCGCCGGCCACGCATCCGACAACGGACCTGCCATAGGTCGTCCTCGAATCACCTGCGTCGTCCGTCGCGAGCTACAGAACCTTCCCTTTCTCCGGCGCCGGAGCCCTGATTTTCTCGAGTAGGCAGCATACCGTGCAGCCCTTCTGCTTCGCTGGTCAGAATCTGCCTTCCTTGGCCAGACGCAGGTCACTGTCTGCATTTCCGAAGTCAAGTTCGTATGATCGCTCGCGTTCAGCACATTTTTCGGCCTGGCCATAAAACTTTGGAGAGAAATGGTTCTCGGTGTACTGAGTGTGTCAACGCCCTAATAGTGACGGCGCACTGTCTTGACGGCAAGATTGTGAGAGCCCAAACTGTCTAGGTTCTTATAAATCATGCTGACTGGTCCACTAGATCGATCCGAAACGTGCCATACCAGCGAAGGACAAAAGGGCATAACCGACTTCTTTCATCGACTAAGCCATGAGGACTACGTTATGTGGTCATTGTCGCCTTCTTCCTCCTGCTTTCGAGGACACTCAATGCCGTCCTCCGTGCCGCCCAAGTCCTTTTCGAAACTCCGAGGACCTTGGTCCAAGACCGCCAGCTCTGTGTTCAGAATACCAAACGTGTCATATCTGAACGTGAGGCATAGAGGCAATTGCTTTGTGCTGGCTGGGTTCAACTCGTACGTCACTAAGCCGGTCAAGACGAAAGAGCTCTCACTTCTGTTGACCATGAACTTTGGATCCGAAGGAGAAAGGGAAGCCGCATGAGTTCTTGGTGCCCAAACCGCATACATAGTGGTGGACCACCGTCTCCTTTTTCCTTCGGTGCCATGACAATTGCTCCTGCTGGATCGATCCCTGGGTCTATATTCGTGAAGCGCCCATCGAAGACGTTCGCCGGAGGAGTCAGTCAAGAAGATTGTGTTCTCTTCTCGCTCGTAACTATATGCTAGCACGTGGCAACACCCATCCATAGAGAGAAAAAGGAGAGACCTAGTTTGCAGGAAAGGATCGATACCACGGGCAACGAGGGCTAAATGCCTTTACGCGGCGGGCTAAATGCCTTCACGCGGCGGCCGGTCAAAGACACGTCCTCTGCGGATAGTTTCTATTTCGAGCCCCTACGGAGATTACCCCAGTACGACCGCCTTCCTCGATGACCGTCTGCCATCGAAACCACATCGTCAGGGCAGTCTAGAGTGAGACGACTCCAGCTACTTCCTTCCCGTGGCTGGAAAGACTATCAAAGTCGCCGTCATCTGGGAGGATTACAACATCACAGTTGCTATTCTAGACGACAACGTCCCGCTCAGCAAAGTCTCCGCTGCAACCCACACGGCAGACGTCGTCTCGTACTCCGAACAGAGCAACACCGATTCGCTATGTGTTATTGGCGTCTGCAGCGATGTCAGTCTCCATTCTCTTTGCTGTTTCCAATCTGGTATCGGGGCCGGAGTCAGTTTCTGGCTCATATATATAGCTAGCTCAGAGGCTTTGGAGGTACAGGAAGCATGTTCCGGTGTAAGCTTGGTTGGGGCTATATCGTTCGCGAAAAGATAGTTGTAGATAACGGATTCCTGGCATGCTGTGGGAGGTGCTTCATCTTATGCTATTACTGATGACCATGTTTACTATAAATACTTCTTCAAAAGATTGGCCGCAACGGGTAAACCCTTCATTAACTTAATAAAAAGAGCAATACGCACCCATGACCCTCTCCGAAAACGTTTTCATAACCCTCACTTTGCCATACCCCAGCACGCGGCCCTTTGCGAAAAACAAGCCAGCCCAGAAGACTCCAAAATGCAAAAAAGATGTTTTCCTCCTAAGGACTCAAAGGAGGTAATCACGCCTTCCACGGGGGTCGAACCCGGGTTCCGTTGTTATATGCTATGATAGATATTAGCGATGTTCACAACCACCCTCACCGTGAACA